CATGTTTGGTCAATTTCAGACTGTAGAAGCTGATAAAATTCTTCAATTTCCTCATCTGTGGCTTTGGTGGTTGGGGCATAAATTTGAGTAACAGTCATATTAATGGGTCTTCCTTGTAGGCGTATGGATATTATCCTATCACTGACAGCATTGTACTTCAGGACAGATGTATGGTAATAAGCACCCCAAACAAAATGTTCCAGGGGCTTTGGTTTTGTGATATACCTTTGTGTGGAAGAGGTGCAAGCAGCAAAGTGCTTGACCACACAAGGTTAATTGGCATGTAGTGGAACCAAAGAGAGTTGTTTCTAGACAGGATTCTCTAAAGACTGGTACTCATCTAACGGTGAAGAAAATTTTTGTTGGTGATATTAAAAAAGACACAGAAGAATATATTTAAGAGACTATTTTGAAAAGTATGGCAAGATTGAAACTATAGAACTTATGGAAGACAGGCAGAGTGGAAAAAAGAAGATTTACTTTTGTAACTTTTGATGATCATGATACAGTTGAAAAAATTGTTCAAAAATACCATACTATTATTAATGAGCATAACTGTGAAGTGAAAAAGGCCCTGTTAAACAAGAGATGCAGTCTGCTGGATCACAAAGAGGTTGTGGAGTGGATGTGGCAACTTTATTCTAAGATGGGTGGTGGAGGAAATTCTGGATGTGATGGGCAGAACTCTGGCTGTGGTGGAAACTTTGGTGGAAGAGGAAGCTATGGTGGTAGAGGAGGTAGCACCAGCAGAGGTAGTTATAGAGGAGGTGACAGTGGATATAATGGACTTAAGGTGATGGTGACAACTATTGTAGAAGTCCTATTTATAGTAGTAGAGGGGGGCTATGGTGGTGGTAGACCAAGATATGGAAACTAAGGTGGCAGTGGCAGAGAACATGATGGTTACAATGAAGGAGGCAATTTTTGCAGTGTTAACTATGGTGGTGGTGGGAACTATAGTGATTTTGAAAATTATAGTGGACAACAGTAATCAAATTAGGGACCCATTAAAGGAGGCAGTTTTCACAGAAGAAACTCAGTCTTACAGTGGTGGTTATGGATCTGGTGGTAGATATGGTAGCAGAAGGGTCTAAAACTTGAGCAGAAAGGGGCTACTATTCTTAGCAGGAGAGCAAAGAGTTGTCAGGAAAGTTCCAAGTTACTTTGAGACAGTCATCCCAAATACATTAGAGGAACTGTAAAACTCTGCCATAGAAGGAACAATGATCCATAGTCAGAAAAGTTACTGCAGCTTAAACAGTAATAAATCCTTGTTCAGGACTGTCACAGCCACAATTTATAAAAGTACAGCTATGTAGTGCCAATTAGATGTACATTCCTAAGGTCTTTTATCTGTTTTCTTTTTCTTTTCATTATATCAGGTATATTGCTCTTTAAATTGTGGTAGTGGTACTAGACATAAAAACATTAGGGAATTTTCAACCTGTTTAAAAAATTGAATGTGTGAGGGTATGATTACAAAATTTACAATTTCTACTCTGTACACTTTTGAATTATTTGGATATTTTTAAATAAGGCATATAAGAAAATACATTTCTACTCTGAAAGGAAAAAAAATACCTATGGAAGGGCAGTTTCAGAGTTATAGCAAAATTAATAAAGCCCAACAAAAAGGGCAGAATTTGTAGAGGCAGAAGCAATATTTTCCAAAAGAATATTCTACAGAGGCTTTAATGAAAATATGAGATAAGAAAAATGTTATAGGGATGATCTTATAGTAAAAATTTGAAATGAATGATTAAGAAGATATTCTATGAATAACCAGATGAAAAGTGAATTAAAGAGTGAAGCCAAGATCAAGAAAATAATATTTACATTAAAATGATTGTACTCATGAGGAATCTGTACCTTGACCAGGAGGCTGTCGTTC